CAAAGATATTGGGGGTATTTATCATCAAGTAAACCGAGGGTGGCTGGTATCCTAATTAATGTTAGCTTTTGGTGTCATTTAATCATCTTCCAATCTACGGTATTTTTCGGTAACCAGTGATGAACAGACAGCCATATTAACCGCTGACATCATCTCTAGCAACAATGTCAAGAAACAAGGAAGCGGCCATTGCTCTGCGATGACTGTCAACATCTCTAGTAAATAGTCAAGGTAATTTGTGGTATTGCCTCGATACTGAGTAACATTGGGCGCCTATGATACTGAGTGACATTGGACGCCCATGATATTGAGTGACATTGAGCGCCCATGATACTTAGTGACATTGGGCGCTCATGATACTTAGTGACATTATTGGGCGCCCATGATACTGAGTGACATTAGGCGCCCATGATACTGAGTGACATTTGGCGCCCATGACACTGAGTGCTATTAGGCGCCCATGATACTGAGTGACATCGGGCGCCCATGAAACTGAGTGACATTAGGCGCCCATGATACTGAGTGACATTGAATACCCATGATACTTAGTGACATTGGGCGCTCATGATACTTAGCGACATTGGGCGCTCATGATACTGAGTGACATTGGGCATCACATGTGCTCACGTCCTTTTGTTTTGAATACTCCTAGTCGTTTCTAGTTAATCTGCGAATGCGAACAGTAGGACAGATTGGCGGGTACTAGTTTACTTCTTCTTCTTTCGTTCGTTTGAAATAAATTATCTATATCTGCAATGTTGTCTATAGTATGACTGACTGACTGACTTTCTACCCCACTAGCACATCACACAAGCGATAAACACCCGATGACACAAAATGCCACCATGTGGATGAGGATCACCGTGGAGAGACAATTGGCCATATTTATGGCCTGCATATATTGCGGCCCCTGGCAAAAGCCAGAGTGGGGCTTCAAATAACAAAAAAATTACACCCTAAAAGGGACGCAAGTGTAACATTATATTGTCTCTAGTATGAACTTCACTGTCTTTTGTACTTCACCACACAGCGACCCGTTTTGACCTGCACCGATGTTTCTCTTGGCTAAAAGTTTTGTCTTGATATGTTGTATTTGGGACAGTCTTGGAGGACATGATCTGTTGTCTCAGGTGCCAATCCACATGTGCACATGGCTGATTCGCCGATTTTAAATTGTGTGTACATGTGGCAGAGAAGTCGATTGTGTCCTGCTCCAAGGCGTAGATTAATAACTTGCTCTGGTCTGTCCATCAAATGGTATCGTCTTGTGCCGGTTTTGGAAGCTTTCTGATGAATGAGGACACGCTAGATGTGGCCAAGGCACGTTGGATCTGGCCAAGACATTATGTTCAGCGAAAATGCAAGTCGGGCATATACTCACACTGCTTCTCTTACCATGGATTTGGATCTCTGTGCTAGCTGCTGAAAATGATCCCGGGGGGTTTATGGGATGTCCCAAGTGCTGTAATGTCTGTTGTTGATTCAGCTGCACTCAGACTCACCATCTTGTGTCGTTTCTTTTCGTGTAACGTAATGTTCACAACAGAGAATTGATAGTCCACTTTAGCAGGAGACAAGCTTTGGTCATCTAATGATAAGGGGGAAAACACTAGCGTACATCGCAAAGATGGGCAAGCTGGAGAGGAAAAACGCAGAGAGACCAAGAAAGATAGAGAGAGAGAGCGAGGGGGGGGAGAGAGAGGGGAGAGAGATAGAGATAGAGAGAGAGAGAGAGAGAGAGAGAGAGAGAGAGAGAGAGATAGAGAGAGAGAGAGAAAGAGAGAGAGGGAGGGAGAAGATGCTAGACAGTTTGACCTCATGACATGTAACATCAAATGTGTCAAAATTGATAGAAAGTGCAGTGAAACTTCAACTAACCGTAACTCATTGAATCGTCACCTTCTGTATTTATGTGTTGTTAACTTTTAAAGGATTTTATTTTCATGTTCGTCCCAAGCCCGCAGTGAAATCACGTTACTGTACCTATGTATTAGGCGATTTCTTTATCCGTCTCGTCGGTTATATGTAAAGGTTCTCGTCCGGACGGTGACGGTTAATTCAAATTTTACTGTAAATGAGAAAGAAGGTTGTGGATAGACATGGCTACCAACGCCACAAAGTATGGGAGATCATGTGTGTCAGAATTAATTGAAAGTACACGGCACAGAAATTTGGGGATGGACATGACTACCCACGCCACAAAGTATGGAAGATCATCTGTATCAGAATTCATTGAAAGTACACGGGACAGAATTTTGGGGATTGACATTACAACTGCATGTCTACTACAGTAACCACTGACTGTGCAAGTTTAATCCCCCCCCCCACCACCCCCACCCCCCACCCCACCCCCACCCCCAAACAGAAAATAAAATGCATCACTTCTCCAAGGATTTGTACCTTAGTCTCCCTGATTCGGAACCCAGCTATTTTAACCGCCCTGTCAGCAACCCCTCCACTGATACTTATTACGGACGGCTAAAGACATTAAAACTACAAACAGCTAAAGACATTGAGATTATGAAGAGCTAAAGGCAGTGAAACTACAAACAGCTAAAGACATTGAGATTATGAAGAGCTAAAGACATTGAGATTATGAAAAGCTAAAGACATTGAGATTATGAAGAGCTAAAGACATTGAGATTATGAAGAGCTAAAGACATTGAGATTATGAAGAGCTAAAGACATTGAGATTATGAAGAGCTAAAGGCAGTGAAACTACAAACAGCTAAAGACATTGAGACTACAAACAGCTAAAGACATTGAGACTACAAACAGCTAAAGACATTGAGACTACAAACAGTTAAAGACATTGAGACTATGAACAGTTAAAGACAGTGAGACTACAAACAGCTAAAGACATTGAGACTACAAACAGTTAAAGACATTGAGACTACAAACAGTTAAAGACATTGAGACTATGAACAGTTAAAGACAGTGAGACTATAAACAGTTAAAGACAGTGAGACTATGAACAGTTAAAGACAGTGAGACTATGAACAGTTAAAGACAGTGAGACTATGAACAGTTAAAGACAGTGAGACTATGAACAGTTAAAGACAGTGAGACTATGAACAGTTAAAGACAGTGAGACTATGAACAGTTAAAGACAGTGAGACTATGAACAGTTAAAGACAGTGAGACTATGAACAGTTAAAGACAGTGAGACTATGAACAGTTAAAAACAGTGAGACTATGAACAGTTAAAGACAGTGAGACTATGAACAGTTAAAGACAATGAGACTATGAACAGTTAAAGACAATGAGACTATGAACAGTTAAAGACAATGAGACTATGAACAGTTAAAGACAATGAGACTGTGAACAGTTAAAGACAATGAGACTGTGAACAGTTAAAGACAATGAGACTATGAACAGTTAAAGACAAAAAGACTATGAACAGTTAAAGACAATGAGACTATGAACAGTTAAAGACAATGAGACTGTGAACAGTTAAAGACAATGAGACTGTGAACAGTTAAAGACAATGAGACTGTGAACAGTTAAAGACAATGAGACTATGAACAGTTAAAGACAATGAGACTATGAACAGTTAAAGACAATGAGACTGTAAACAGTTAAAGACAATGAGACTGTGAACAGTTAAAGACAATGAGACTATGAACAGTTAAAGACAATGAGACAATGAACAGTTAAAGACAATGAGACTATGAACAGTTAAAGACAATGAGACTATGAACAGTTAAAGACAATGAGACTGTGAACAGTTAAAGACAATGAGACTATGAACAGTTAAAGACAATGAGACTGTTAACAGTTAAAGACAATGAGACTGTGAACAGTTAAAGACAATGAGACTATAAACAGTTAAAGACAATGAGACTATGAACAGTTAAAGACAATGAGACTATGAACAGTTAAAGGCAATGAGACTATGAACAGTTAAAGACAATGAGACTATGAACAGTTAAAGACAGTGAGACTATGAACAGTTAAAGACAATGAGACTATGAACAGTTAAAGACAGTGAGACAGTAAACATTTAAAGACATTGAAACTACAAACAGCTAAAGACTTTGAGATTATGAAGAGCTTAAGCAATGAGAAGGAACAGTTAAAGACAGTGAGACAATGAACAGCTAATAACAGTGAAAGTAGGAACAGCTAAGGACAGTGAAACTAGGAACAGCTAAGGACAGTGAAACTAGGAACAGCTAAGGACAGTGAAACTAGGAACAGCTAAGGAAAGTGAAACCAGGAACAGCAAAGGACAGTGAAACTAGGAACAGCTAAGGACAGTGAAATTAGGAACAGCTAAGGACAGTGAAACTAGGAACAGCTAAGGACAGTGAAACTAGGAACAGCTAAGGACAGTGAAACTAGTAACAGCTAAGGACAGTGAAACTAGGAACAGCTAAGGACAGTGAAACTAGGAACAGCTAAGGACAGTGAAACTAGGAACAGCTAAGGACAGTGAAACTAGGAACAGCTAAGGACAACTAAGAACAGCTAAGGACAGTGAAACTAGGAACAGCTAAGGACAGTTAAAAACAGGAACAGCAAAGGACAGTGAAACTAGGAACAGCAAAGGAAAGTGAAACTAGGAACAGCTAAGGACAGTGAAACTAGGAACAGCTAAGGACAGTGAAACAAGAACAGCTAAGGACAGTGAAACAAGAACAGCTAAGGACAGTGAAACTAGGAACAGCTAAGGATAGTGAAACTAGGAACAGCTAAGGACAGTGAAACAAGAACAGCTAAGGACAGTGAAACTAGGAACAGCTAAGGACAGTGAAACTAGGAACAGCTAAGGATAGGGAAACTAGGAACAGCTAAGGATAGGGAAATTAGGAGCAGCTAAAGACAGTGAAACTAGGAACAGCTAAGGACAGTGAAACTAGGAACAGCTAAGGATAGGGAAACTAGGAACAGCTAAGGATAGGGAAACTAGGAGCAGCTAAAGACAGTGAAACTAGGAACAGCTAACAGCTACAGAAACCAATGCGATTTTTCCTTTGTAATTATGTCTTCCGTAGGTAATGAGGAACCTGAAAAAGACTTTATTGCTGGTGTTCTTCGTCAACTTTTCCCCGGCAAATATGTTTTCCACAGACGAAGAGATCTTTATTTCTGACCCGTGCAATCGGAGGACTAGAAGCTGCGCGCTTGCTTTGCGATACTCCCAGTGTGCACAAGTGATTAACAGAGAAACAGAGTGCAGTATTAGGTAAGGTTCCATATTTTTTGCTTACCCCAACGACGTCACTATGACGTCACGGGACAGTCAATTTCCAGGGTGGTGGCAAGATGGGGCTTTTCCCAGGGCGCGCTGCCAAGTCAAAAAACATGACCAGTATCGTATACCAGCCATTTGCGCATCAACAGATAGAACAAAGCAGCTGATTAAACACCAAGAGACAGAAATATGCCACACCAAACAAAGATGACCACACAACAGCAGCACACTTGCAAACCTTGAAATAGTCGACTGTCCAGTCAGCTGTGGATTTCCACTTGATTACCCCTATTTGGAGTAAGATATTAATAAAGCACAAAATGCCCTGTTGGGGACATTGTGGTAACAACTTTCTCAATGTTTTGTCTGTGCTGCTATGAAGCAGTTATGACAGCATATGTCTTACTGTATGTCTGTGCTACTGAAGTAGTTATGACAGCATATGTCTTACTGTATGTCAGTGGTACTTAAGTAGTTATGGCAACATTTGTCTTACTGTATGTCTGTGCTACTGAAGTAGTTATGGCAGCATATGTCTTACTGTATGTCTGTGGTACTGAAGTAGTTATGGCAGCATATATCTCACTGTATGTCTGTGGTACTGAAGTAGTTATGGCAGCATATGTCTTACTGTATGTCTGTGGTACTGAAGCAATTATGGCAGCATATGTCTTACTGTATGTCTGTGGTACTGAAGTTGTTATGGCAGCATTTATCTCACTGTCTGTCAGTGGTGCTTAAGTAGTTATGACAGCATTTGTCTTACTCTATGTCTGTGATACTTAAGTAGTTATGGCAGCATATGTCTTATTGTATGTCAGTGGTACTTAAGTAGTTATGGCAGCATTTGTCTTACTGTATGTCTGTGGTACTAAAGTAGTTATGGCAGCATTTGTCTTACTGTATGTCTGTGATACTTAAGTAGTTATGGCAGGATATGTCTTACTGTATGTCAGTGGTACTTAAGTAGTTATGGCAGCATTTGTCTTACTGTATGTCTGTGGTACTAAAGTAGTTATGGCAGCATATGTCTTACTGTATGTCAGTGGTACTTAAGTAGTTATGGCAGCATATGTCTCATTGTATGTCTGCGGTACTGAAGCAGTTATGGCAGCATTTGTTTTACTGTATGTCTGTGGTACTGAAGTAGTTATGGCAGCATTTGTCTCACTGTATGTCTGCGGTACTGAAGCAGTTATGGCAGCATTTGTCTTCCTGTATGTCTGTGGTACTGAAGCAGTTATGGCAGCATATGTCTCACTCTATGTCCGTGCTACTGAAGCAGTTATGGCAGCATTTGTCTTACTGTATGTCTGTGGTACTTAAGTAGTTATGGCAGCATTTGTCTTACTGTATGTCTGTGGTACTAAAGTAGTTATGGCAGCATTCGTCTTACTTTATGTCAGTGGTACTTAAGTAGTTATGGCAGCATTTGTCTTACTGTATGTCAGTGGCACTTAAGTAGTTATGGCAGCATATGTCTTTCTGTATGTCAGTGGTACTTAAGTAGTTATGGCAGCATTTGTCTTACTGTATGTCAGTGGTACTTAAGTAGTTATGAAAGCATATGTCTTACTGTATGTCAGTGGTACTTAAGTTGTTATGGCATCAAATGTCTTACTTTATGTCTGTGTACTTAAGTAGTTATGGCAGCATTCGTCTTACTGTATGTCTGTGGTACTAAAGTAGTTATGGCAGCATTTGTCTTACTGTATGTCTGTGGTACTTAAGTAGTTATGGCAGCATTCGTCTTACTGTATGTCTGTGGTACTTAAGTAGTTATGGCAGCATTTGTCTTACTGTATGTCTGTGGTACTAAAGTAGTTATGGCAGCATATGTCTTACTGTATGTCAGTGGTACTTAAGTAGTTATGGCAGCATATGTCTTACTGTATGTCAGTGGTACTTAAGTAGTTATGGCAGCATATGTCTTACTGTATGTCAGTGGTACTTAAGTAGTTATGGCAGCATTTGTCTTACTGTATGTCTGTGTTACTAAAGTAGTTATGGCAGCATATGTCTTACTGTATGTCAGTGGTACTCAAGTAGTTATGGCAGCATATGTCTTACTGTATGTCTGTGGTACTAAAGTAGTTATGGCAGCATTTGTCTTACTGTATGTCTGTGGTACTTAAGTAGTTATGGCAGCATTTGTCTTACTGTATGTCTGTGGTACTAAAGTAGTTATGGCAGCATTCGTCTTACTGTATGTCAGTTGTACTTAAGTAGTTATGAAAGCATATGTCTTACTGTATGTCAGTGGTACTTAAGTTGTTATGGCAGCATTTGTCTTACTGTCTGTCTGTGGTACTAAAGTAGTTATGGTAGCATATGTCTTACTGTCTCTGGTACTAGCGAAATTATGGTAGCATATATTTCACTGGCTGTGTGCGGTACTGGCGAAATTATATTAGCATATATTTCACTGGCTGTCTGTGGTACTGGCGAAATTATGGTAGCATATATTTCACTGGCTGTGTGCGGTACTGGCGAAATTATGGTAGCATATATTTCACTGGCTGTGTGCGGTGCTGGCTAAATTATGGTAGCATATATTTCTCTGGCTGTGTGCGGTACTGATGAAGTTGTGTGAACATATGTCTCATTGTTTGTCTGCGATCTGATGAAAACGTATGTGTCAACGTCTGCTTGAGGAGATTACGAAATTATGGCAACATGTGTCTCCATATATGTTCATCGTTAAATGAAATGATAATATTAAATTTATCTCTATGTATCTCTGTGTTTCTGACCAAACCATCTAATTTCCCCTGTGAACAATATAATTTCACCAGTAAACAATATAATTTAGCCCATGAACCATCTAATTTTGCCCGTGAACCATCTAATTCGGCCCTGAACCATCTAATTCCTCCTGTGAACCATCTAATTCCTCATATGAACCATCTAATTTCGCCCGTAAATCATCTAAAGAAGCCGCATATCTATGGTTAACTGTACGAGTTGCTGTTCCACAGAAGCGTCTGTTCCAAATTGGAATTCAAGCACGTCTACGATCTGGCCTGTCGCGGACAGGAACTGCTGGAGTCTCTATCCCGCAGCCTGGACCCAGCCTGCGTCAAGAAGCTGGAGTCTTCAGAATGTGACCTGGGAATGAACCCGATGACCATCTTCGACTACGGAAACATCTCCAAACGGTTTCACCTGTGCGACAAGATACAAGCCAGTCCCATCGCTAAATGTCTGGCCGGAAACGTTGACTATAATACGTGAGCCCCGCCTTTGTTGCTTCATTTCTTTCTGTTCACGTATTTTCTTTAGCTCAAGCAGAGGATTGTCTGGTTTTGAACCTCCTGGTGGTAAACTTTACACAGCAAGTTGGCTGCTAGGACAGCCCAGCCAAAAGTCTGGCCACTGAGCATAAAAAGGCCAACGCACCCGGGATCGTTCTTAATTTAGCTTTCCGGACTGAACCCGCAGGCACACGAAGGGCAGGAGACCTCGCTCGGCCAGCGGCTGATGCACGATACATGTGCTCAACAGCACGTGTTCTAGCGACTGCGTGGGGTTGAACGGTTAGTTTGGCTCGTTGATGATGACACGTTTTTCTATAGTTAGCCCTGAATTTGTCTCTGGTAGTTAGACTGTGTAGAGATATATCATTGTGTATCATCGCTCGGAGATAGTTCATTTTATTAGTGAAATGCTTTACAGGTTGATAATTGGTAATGTTTTGTTATTCGTGATTGTTACAGTGATTAGTGGAGAGGCACACGTAAGATAAACAACGTTCTTTGGTCATGTGATGAGAAAGGGAGCATTGTAAAATATCGTGACGGCTGGAAAGATCGCTGGTAGAAGAGGCAGAGGCAGACCACAAGAAATGATGGTGGATGGCCTAAGACAGGGGCATGGAGGAATATCATCAGTAGAATTGATCCAGAACACCATAAAAACGAGATCTGTGGAGATGCATGAGCGCCCACGCCAGCTGGCAAGTCACTTGATGATGACGATGATGATGATGATGATGACACGCAGATCCTCGCGGTCTGAAGAGAATGATGCAGCGGAGACTGGGCAGGGGATCTGGCAGACGCGACGTTCAGAGGAAAGGCAAGACAGGCAGATATTCAAACTGCTTCTGGTTGCATCGGAAATTCCACTTCTTGTTTTGTTCACTGGAAATAGATTATCTATATCCGCATGTCTGCCTCTAGTATGAACTTTACGGTCTATCGTAATTCAGTCTGCGACCCGTACAGTTTGGCTTGCACTGGTGTTCATCTTGGCCACAAGTTTTGCCTTGATATTTTGTACCGGCGGTGTCCGTGGCTAAGGCGTTGCGAGTCCGACTCGTAATCCAACGTACCGCGATCGAAACCCACTGCGGGCTGCGTGGGTTTTTATCGTGGTATGGGACGTCGCAGGTCGAACCAGCCTCAAATGGGTACCAGGATGGGCTGTCCTGGGAAAGTAAAGACAGCCGGCGTAATGCTGACCACATTACCCACCGAGTGCTGATGGTCTGTAAAAATATGGGCGCTCTTCCCCTATGCCCGATACGCCTAAAGGCGTGGAAAGGGATCTTTACATTTTTATTTATTATTTTGTACCGGGAGTCGCCGTGGCCGAGCCGCTAGACGCTCGTTGCGCATCGGAAGGTCGTGGGTTCGCTCCCTGGCGGAGCCGGACTTTTTTTTCAAAAATGACCTTGGCTCCCAGGTCGACCCAGCCTTGAGTGGGTACCGGGTGCAGTCCCGGGAAAGTAAAGGCGGCCTGATGCTGACCACATCACCCAACTTTTGCCGATTGCTCTATAAAAATATAGGTCTAGCCCTATATTCCTTATACGCCTGATGGAGTGGAAAAGGGTCCTTTATGTTGTACCTGGGACAGTCTTGGAGGACATCAGAATTTGAATTGGCTGCTGATGATCTTTTTCTTCTTTCTTTGCGTTTACCGGCTGGAAACTCCGGAGGAAAGTTCTGGTTGTTCGTCCACTTCTTAACTGCAGTCCTGTTTAAGAACATGATTGTTGCGTGTGCATCCGTTTGACAGATCTGACTCATTTGTGTGCAGACTGTTTGTTGCTTACCTTTCAGGCAGATGCACTCCGACTATAAAGGAGGCGCCAGATTAGTCGACTCTTACGACATGCTTTTGGGTAGGCAGTGAGCCTATTCTTGCTTCCCCTATTATAGGGCCCAGGAACCCACACGGGGAGTTGCTGAAGATTAGGACTGTGTCGTTTAAAAAAAATGTTATGATGTCAGTTTTTAAGCCAACTTACAGCAACACTGTAGCGGTTAAGCTGACAAACATACGGCTATAATTGCTACCGCCGGATTTATTTATTCATTCTATCTGCTTATATTGCTAGCAAACACGTATATACTTTCTTTTGATGTCAAATGTAATGACTTCCTTCTCTCTCTCTCTCTCTCTCTCTCTCTCTCTCTCTCTCTCTCTCTCTCTCTCTCTCTCTCTCTCTCTCTCTCTCTCTCTCTCTCTCTCCATTCTGTCTGCTTATATCTCTTGCATACAAACACACTTTCTTTCAATGTCGAATGTAATTACTCTCTTCTTCTCTCTATCTTTGTTTTTCCCTGTCTATGTGTGTGTCTATGTGTGTCTCTGTCTGTATCTGTCTTTCTATGTTTCTATCTCCGTTTTTATCTCCGTTTCTCTGTCTGCATGTGTGTCTGTCTCCCAATGTGTCTCTCTCAGTATCTCTGTGTGTGTCTCTGGTTGTCAGTCTGTGTGTACGCCTCTCTTTCTCTCGCTCCCTCTCTCTGTGTCTCTCTCTCACCCCCCCCCCCTTTTCTGTTTTCTCTTTCACCCACACACACACACACACACACACACACACACACACATACATACACACATAAAAACATAGACACGATTTCTGCTGATGTCAACCAAAAAACACAAGGATAGCTTATGTTGGTGTCCTGTCTACCAGGAGGCGGCCACAAATCTTTACTATGAGTCTAGACACTAGAACCTGGGAGCCCATGCTCCCTAGCGCAAATAAAAACACAGTTTACTGCTTTTCTTATTTCTGTGCCTTTCTTGAAATAATCCCATCTAACCAGTTCATGGCAGTTAATGTTTAATTTTGACTGCATTTAACTTTTGTTCCATGTCTTTATTTGTTCTCCAATTTAAATAATGCGGACACAAACAATACTCCAGTTCTTATGCATTATGTTAAAATTGAAATAACATTTGAATTCAAATTATTTATCTTTTTTCTTGGTTGTCTCATTACGAAACAAACTTCGTGGAAGAGCAGATAAAACAACAAGTCAGACATTGTTTTAATAATTGTGCTAAATAGATTAAATGTCTTCTTCCTTGAGTTCGGTGTGGTCTGCTCAGGCCAGATCGTCATGTGGGATGTCTTTCAGAATTCACATGTCAGTTGCAGATCTTTTAAGGTAGGTACGTATTGTACCCCACCAGGACATCACGCAAGCGATAAACACCAGGTGACACAAAGTGCCACCACGCGGATGAGGATCACATGTGGAGAGGTCCCAGAAACCCATTTCAGCCTTTAGGCCGTATGGCCCGGCTATATTTAGGGCCCCTAGGAGAAGCCAGGGTGGGACTTCAAATAGCAAAAAAAATTAGCATCCAACATGGGGACGACTTTTGAGATAAATATAAGAACTGAGTATTGTTAATTCCAATGTTAATTCAGTTTTAACATACGCTAGTGATCCTTGGAGAACAACTGCAGACATGGAAGAAACTTAAATGCATTCGAAACAATTAAGGGGAAGATAACTTCTTACGTGTTAGGCACATCGGGCGTATGAGAAGATCAATCGGCACTAGGTGGGTAATGTGGTTAGCATTACGCCGGCCGTCTTTAGTTCCCCAGGACAGCAATCCTGGTACCCATTTTAGGCTAGGTCGATCTGCGACGCCCAATACCATGTTAAAAATCCACGCAGCCAGCAGTGGGTTTCGATCGCGGTACGTTGGAATTACGAGTCGGACTCGCAGCGCCTATGCCACGGACACCGCTATTCGAAACAAATGCCTGAGGAAAATGATGAACATAAAAGGTTAGTTGCGTATCCTTTACACGACGTTGCAGAACCAACCCCAACAGCCCCTGGCTGTTGTGTAGCTTTTCTAGGCAAATTTACTTCCAGTAGTTTGCTATTACTTCTGGACGGTCAGCTTTCTTGATACCACTGTCAAAAAACAACGAGCAGAGAATCGACAAAACAGGTACTGAATTAGGAAATAGAGGGACTAAGGAGACCAGAGTGTCAAAGAGAAACTCAAAAGGTAAACGCCCAGGAAAGAAACAAAGGCCTAAATAAACGAATGAACATCAACATGGAATTAATTTAAGACCAGGGGAGAAATGAGAAACACGTCTGGACAGAGGCTGGCATAATTAGTTATACGGCAAAATATCTGGCAGTTAATTATGTACATCCTGAACAGAAACGGACCACACATACAAATCAGAAAACAGACACTGAAATGCGAAACAAATCTTTTGAGGAAACAAGAATATCCAAGAGAAATCCTCCAATGAACGGTGTTAAGAGAGGCCAAGGGTGCTAGACCGGATTCCATCCATTCCAGAGGGATGTTCAGGCTATAATAGAGTAGTAGCGTGCTAACCCTTATCTTTGTATCTATGTATGTTTGTTTGTATGTATGTATGCCTGTGTGTATGCCTGTTTGCATGTTTGTTTGTATGTATGAACGTATGTATGTATGTATATATGTATGTATGTATGTATATATGTATGTATGTATGTATGTATGTATGTATGTATGTATGTATGTATGTATGTATGTATGTATGTATGGATGGATGGATGGATGGATGGATGGATGGATGGATGGATGGATGGATGGATGGATGGATGGATGGATGGATGGATGGATGGATGGATGGATGGATGGATGGATGGATGGATGGATGGATGGATGGATGGATGGATGGATGGATGGATGGATGGATGGATGGATGGATGGATGGATGGATGGATGGATGGATGGATGGATGGATGGATGGATGGATGGATGGATGGATGGATGGATGGATGGATGTATGTATGTATGTATGTATGTATGTATGTATGTATGTATGTATGTATGTATGTATGTATGTATGTATGTATGTATGTATGTAATGTTTGCATGCATGTATGTGTGTGTGAGTGGGTGATCGTGTGTATGTGGGTGTATGTATGCACGCGCGGGTTTTTGCATGCACTTTACAACTCATGCTTTTGTGTTCTTTTATAATATTAATAATATGCATATTATCATATGATCATAACATGCTTTATTAGTAAAAATACAACTGCTGTGCGAAAGATGGTTGACTGGAAGGGTCGAATGTAAGACGGGCCTGCGTGCCCAATTTGTGACCCTTTGAAAATAAAGTTCGTTCGTTCGTTCGTTCGTTCGTTCGTTAGATAACCAGGTAATTGCTGTTCCAACTTGTTTTTCTGTTCTTGGACCAACAAAAACCACACAGAATGTCCATCACTGTTCCTTGAAAAAAAAGGGGAAAAAAAGGGGGGGGGGGGATTGACTCAGACTGCAGTACTTGCACACCCAATTGATCGCATAAGGCACCGCAGGTCACTTGCCACGCACTCAGCTTAGTAGCTAGGAGATGGATCTTAACCAGACAATACAATACAGATAAACATAACAGTGTACCGGTAATGATAACGAAATATAAGCAAATGACAGGATGTGGTTTGTTCCTCTTTCCACAGACCAGACTGTACGCAAGAACAGTACGGCTCCATTGTAAACGTTGTGTGTGCAGTTGGTGCTGGAAGGGCCCATACCATACGCCTAGATATGTGTTTACTGTGTGTCCCAGTGTGCACTTGTCTCTTCATCGTGGCCACTCTCTCAAGACTAATGCACCAATTGTCAGTCACTGAATTTGAAATGCTTGTAGTCCTACACTGATTCCCGGGCAATTTCGCTTTTTTTTTTTTCCCTTTAAAGCGCAGCTATATTTATTATTTCCCGCCCATGACAAACTGAACATTTGGCTAACTGAGCAACTTTTCACATGCCTGTCATCGTCCCTATGTAGGATGCAATTTTTCGTTATTTGAAGCCCCACCTTGGCTTTTTCCAGGGGCACTGAATATAGCCGGGCTATACATATTGCCTAACGGCTGAAAAGGGTGTCTGGGGCCTCACCACGGGTGATCCTCATCCGCATGGTGGCACTTTGTGTCACTAGGTGTTTATCGCTTGTGTTAGGTCCTGGTGGGGTGAGTTTACTTACCTAATTACTTCGGATGCCAGTCAAACAGGATCCAATCCCTCACGAAGACCGTCCGTGTTTTCCACTAGAATTAAGTTGAAAAAAAAAAAAGAAATAAAGGGCTTCCCTTTGTTTTACACAAGTGCCGCATCGGGCGTATGATAAGTGAATGAACCTGAACTCCAGTGTGATTTCATCATCATCAACTACCTTCCAGGCTGGCGTGGCACATCCTGCCTCTCCAAAATCTGCGATCCGCAACTGCGTGTATCTGTTCCTGTGTTGACACGCTTCCGTGTCAAGGTATAAAAACTGGCAAAAATCACTTCTTTATTTATCATGATACAATTACGTCCTTTTCAGGACGTAATTTTTTGTTATTTGAAGCCCCACTCTGGCTTTTGCCAGGGGCCGCAATATAGGCAGACCATAAATATGGCCAATTGTATGAACGCGGTTTCCGGGACCTCTCCACGGTGATCCTCACCCACATGGTGGCACTTTGTGTCATCGGGTGTTTATCGCTTGTGTGATGTCCTGGTGGGGTAAAAATTCATTCATTCATTCACTTCTTTATTAACACCATCCCAGATGGCGTCACAGGACAGTCCAACATTATAGAGGGTGGTAAGACTGGGTTTAACGGCTTTATGATGCTTTTAACGACCCTAAAACATCTAGAACTGGCCCTAATCCTAACCCACCTACGTCTCACGAGAGAGTGCAGCCTAGGTCCCACGACTGCATGCAGCCTATCTACCACCCCCTGAAATATTAGACTGTCCCGTTACCTGTGGATTTCCCCTGTTTGGGAAAGGATATTTAAAAATCACCCCAAAATCTTCTCTCGTTGTCTTCCTCCGTCTCTCTTTCCACAAATCTTTCCAGTGGTCACATGTTCCAGCTTATGTCTTCTCATAAAATACTTAGCTGCGTTTCCTTTATGGATATTGTAGAATCAGCTTGTTAGCTGTGCAGGCCGACACAACCATACAGTGTTAAATTATTGAATGTTAAATGAATAAATGTTAAATAAATAAATGTTAAATGATTGAATGTTAAATGATTGAGTGTTAAATACATGAATGTTAAATGATTGAATGTTAAATGAATGAATGTTAAATAAATAAATGTTAAATGAATAAATGTTAAATGATTAAATGTTAAATGAATGAATGTTAAATGAATAAATGTTAAATAAATAAAATAAATAGCAATGTCTATATTTAACTTGGGAGAAAGACCAATTATTGTCTTGTTGTTATTGTTGTTGTGGTTGTCGTCGTCACATACATGTATTAATAATACTACAGTCTCTTGGTTGTAGTTTTCTTGTTGTGGTCGTTTGCGTCACTCTATTTTCTTTACAAGTAGTTGTTCTGTTCTTTTACTCGTTTTTGGACTAGTGTGTTCTCCGTGGGGGTTTCATTGTTGTGTTTCTTTGGGGAAGGGTGGGGTGGAGGTGGAATAGACCTCCGGGTTTGCTGCAGTCGGATGTGCCGGGTGCAGATGCCGCAGCCTAGCTGTAAACCATACCACAGCGTGCCTTGTAAAGGCAAACATAGACGAAGAAGAGGTCGTTGTAGTGGTGGCAGTAACACTGCCGTTGTATTACTTCGTTTGTACTTGGTCTCTTGTAGTTGTCTCCTCTTTTCACTTTTATATTCTGTACAAGTCTTTGATCTATTCTATTAGTCACTATTCTTTAAAACACATGCACGTACCAGGACAAAAGTATTGCGCATTAAAATCTAATAACTATACAAGCGTTGCAGGGTATCCCATCAGCTTACAACCCTCTCGGAGGTCCGCGTTCATGGAAGACAGCGCTCGCGGAGGTCCGTGTTCTTGAAAACGCAGGTGTAATTGCATGCACACTGCAAAGGAACATGCACATGACCGACAGGACTCGTAACAAAAATATGACTGACAGCAAGTAGGGAATACAAGTGACTCGATAATGACAGGACCAGAACGCATAGCCTCCAATACCACCCCATCACTGGGATGATAGCAAAGGTTGGTAACGTGATACACATAGTCCCGGCAAAAAGCCACGCTAGAATCCAGCAAGACGGCAACGACGAGAATTGACTGAATGGCCTCCCGCTCCCCTTCCCCCCACCTTTCCCTAAATCTTTCGGATGCACTATGAGTTTAACCCCCCAACCCATTCCCACAGAGAGCACTTGAGTTCGTTGCCCAACATGCCACAACAATTCTCATCGCCGATCATTTGGATCTCAAAGCGTGAGCTGGACGGTCAGGTTATATGGTATTTACGTACACCGGAGCTTAGCTATCAACACAACCCCATCACATAATAACAAATGACGACTGGACTCGCTTAAGACTCCACACAAACTCCCACACACATATCCAATACATGACTAACCCGTTCATATTACAGGAAGACAACTATAAGACCACTATGGTCATACGCGGAAAATTTTCACATTTCGGAACTATTCACATTCAAAAACTGTTTTCAGTACTTTTTGGAAAATTAAAATACTCAAAATTTTAAAACAATAAATGGTGGCCGAAAGGTCGTTGTGTTTGGAAGCTCGCTCTCCTTCGAGATACGCCTAGCCAGATCAAAGGGAGACAGAACAAACAGGAAACACCACGAATGAAGAAGGAAGACTTGCACCAGTGACAACAGGACGAGCGGTTTGATACGGAGGGAAGCATTAAGCCAGAAATGGCACAAACACCAGTATTCAGTCACGAAAGTGACGCAAATAACCCAGACCACAAATATAGGCGGAGACTGTTAGCAGCCTAGGCTAGCTAGCAGCAGTCTGAACGTGGTCGAGCTTTTCTTTTTTTTCTTAAAAGGACTTGGACTTGGACTGCAAAGGAAAGACAACTAAAAGACCACTATGGTCACACGCGGAACATTTTCACATTTCGGAACTATTCAAATTCAAAAACTGTTTTTAGTACTTTTTGGCATAATTTAAATACTCAAAATTTTAAAACAATAAATGGTGGTCCAAAGGACGTTGTGTATGGAAGCTAGCTCTCCTTCGAGATACGCCTATCCAGATCAAAGGGAGACAGAACAAACAGGAAACACCAAGAAAGAAGAAGGAAGACATGCACCAGTGACAACGGTTTGATTCGGATGGAAGCATCAAGCCCAGAAATGGCACAAACACTAAAATTCAGTCACGAAAGTGACGCAAATAACCCAGACCACAAATATAGGCGGAGACTGCTAGTAGCCTAGGCTAGCTAGCAGCAGTCTGAACGTGGTCGAGCTTTTCTTTTTTTTTTTTTTTTTTTTTCTTAAAAGGACTTGGACTTGGACTGCAAAGGAACAGAACTGAAATAGGATTGCAAAGAAATCGTCCTTGATAAAGTAGGCCTTCAGGTAGCTTAAAAAAGGACTAGGCTTGGAACTTTTGTTTGATTTTATACGAGACGATACGTGCTCTTGTAGAGAAAACCATTTATATTTATCTAACTATACCCCATATGTCTGCCATTGTTTTGAAAAGAACAAAATAAACATTGTCTTGGGTATCCTCCGCTGCTGGAGAACACCTTTGATGTTTCAACAACGGATCAACATCATGGCACACGAGTAGTAAAAATCCCAGCCCTTAGCGGGGATTGAACCCGGGACCTCTAGCACTAGGGTCGGACTTTATGCCTCGAGGCCACGCAGCCCCCCCCCCCTTTTCCTCCCCCCCCCCTCTTCCGAGAACTCGTATATGCACAGCTCAGTAAACAGGCAGGCAGATTGGCTGGATCTACATCACTGGGTGGTGAACTGTTACATGACAAGGCAGATGTGGTCAGAGCCCTTTGGGAACATATAACAAAGTCAAAATACAATCTAGATTATTATTAGCTGGGGAGAATGATGCACCTAGGAGTGACCTGAGGGTTTAGCCGACACATTACTCTCAGCTGAAAGGCAAGACAGACGTACAACAAGACTACGACCGGAACCGTTAGAATTGAAACTGTGCTGGCTGCTGGTGATAAGGACGGAGCTTGTGTGGGAATTCCCCAGTGGCACTAGTGATACGTTTATTTTTCCCTGTCTAAGGAAACTGACTGGACACCCTGTGTAGCGTCTAAGTAATAGCAACAATACAAATATTGCTCACATATTGATCGATAAACAGTTATGGCTAAATATAAATCAATAAAATGTACAGCTGTGATATTGTGCTCCATTGATAATGTTAAGCTGAACTAGACTCCGAAACAAACAGCGTCAGCAGATCACGGAAGTAGTCTGTGCGCCAAGAATGTTTTCTGCGGGGCTAGTTATCTATCTACCTACTTATCTAATTTACCCACTTCCCTACCTAATGGTTTATCAGTCACTGTCTTTACTTAATTATCTACATTTCAACCTAAGCATTGAATTGACCAAACTAATACCTTTACAATTATATCTCTCCCGTTCTCTTTAGAAACTTATATATATATATATATATATATATATATATATATATATATATATATATATATATATATATATACCTACATATATGTCTAACAACCTGTGTATCTCCCTACATATCTAACAACCGGTCTATTTTTCCTGCTTTTTAAAAATAGCTTATTTTTTGTCGTAATTAACCCCTCAGTTAGCTTTAAGAACCTACCCATCAACTTTACACACACCAACCTACCTACCTAAATCTATTTACAAAAACCCACCAACCTA